CTTGGTAATTCGTACATATCTAGGAATCTGTCTGTTTCTTCTGAGTTTTCTATCCTATGAGAGTAAAGATTTTCAAAGTAGGTACCAATGATCTTCTGAATTTCTGTAGAATCTAGTAGTTTCATCCTTTCCATTCCTTATTGCATGAATTTGAGTTCTTTCCTTTCTTTCTTTGATAAGGTTGGCTAGGGGTTTGTCAATTTTATTTATTCTTTCAAAGAACCAACTCTTTGATTCACTTATTTTTTGGAGGGTTTTCTTTGTCTCAATTGCATTAGTTTCTGCCCTGATCTTTATAATCTCTTTCCTTCTTTGGGCTTTGTGCTTGACTTGTTCTTTTTCTAAAAAATTTGAAGTACAGGATTAGGCTATTTATTTGTTCTCTTTCTGTTTCCCTTATATGTGAGTTCACCACTATAAATTTCCCTCTGAGTACTGTTTTCATTGCATCCCACAGATTCTGGTAAGTTGTATTTACATTTTCATTTGTTTGTAGGTATTTTTAAATTTCTTCTTTAGTTTGTTCTGTGACCCATTGGTTGTTCAGGATTGTTGTTTAATTTCCAAGTGTTTACGGAGTTTTTGGAATTCCTTTTATCATTAATTTCCAATATCATTGCATTGTGGTCAGGTAATATGCACAGGATAATTTCAGTTCTTTTGCATTCAGGTAGGTATGCTCTATGGGCTAGGATGTGGTCTATTTTAGAGAAAGTCCCATGTGAAGCTGAGAAAAATTTGTATTCTGATGTGGGGTGGAACACTCTGTATATATCAACAAAGTCCATTTTTTCACAGATTTGATTCAGATCTATTATATCTTTGCTGATTTTTTGTCCAGTTGACCTATCTCTTTGTGTCAAAGGGGTGTTGAGGTCCTCTGTTACAGTATGGTGATTAATTATTTGAGTTTTCATGTCTGTTAAGATTTGTCAGGCTGGGGATTTAGCTCAGCGGCACAGCGCCTGCCTGGCAAGTGCAAGGTTGTGAGTTCAATTCCTGGTACTGGAAAAAAAAACAAAAAACAAACAAACAAAGATTTGTCTTATATAGTTTGGTGCTGTGATACTTGGTGCATACAGGTTTATGATTGTTATCTCTTCCTCTTGTAGCTTTCCCTTCATAAGTATGGAGTGACCTTCTTTATTTCTTTTGATTGTTGTTGGTTTGAAGTATACATTGTCTGGGAGCATAATAGCTACACCTGCTTTTTTCTGGGTTCCTGTTGCATGGAGAATTGTTTTCCATCCTTTCACTTTCAGTCAATGGATTTCCTTTTGAGTAAAATGTGTTTCCTGTATACAGCATATTGTTGGATTTTGTTTCTTAATCCACTCTGCCAGTCTGTTTCTTTTGACTGGTGAATTGAGACCATTTACAT